AGGGATTAGCGCTTAGGGTTTAGGGATTAGGGGTTTGGGGTTGCGGTCCAGCAGCAATATGCGTGGATTCCGCGGCTGGGCTCAAACTTCTGAGAAGAAAAAACAGATAGCTAAAGGGTTGTCAAGAATATGGTCCCTTTTTGGGTACCAAAAAATATTAGGTGCCGTATTATAATAGGGAACTAAAAGGGACCATAATTTTGACAACCACCAATATCGTGCTTCTCTATGCCTGATGTTCTCTTCCAAGGACGCCAAGCAATCAAAAAAGCTTACTCCAGAAATCTCCCAGAATCCAGTCTCTGCAGTCTGCGGTACGAAGGGGGCTGCTAGCGTCAGCTCCCTGCTCTAGCAAATGCCGCACGATGGCCACGTAGCGGCCGTTTGACGCTGCACCCAAGGGGCTCCGCTGGGGCGCATAAAGACTTTCCTGCAGCCGGAGGTTCACTATTTGGGGTAGGGGATTGAAACCGCACATAGCTGAGCACCCTACACAACAGGTGCCGAAGAAAGCATCGGCATGGTTGCGGCTTCAGGGATCTGTTTGCTTTGGTCTCGAACAAGGTTTCTCATGCCTTTTCTGCCATGAGACTTTTCTGAATTACTTCTTTTTAAGCCTTTCATTCTCTGCCAGCTAACCTAGTGCAACTTACGCACACCAAACCCATGTCGCATTTCAAGGACCAAAGGTCCTCAGACTTATCCTCCAAGCAGGAATAGCTTAAGTATCAGAACACAAAACCTGTTTTGTAGGGTGACTACCTATGTGGCGTTCTAATCCCCTATCATATTCCAATAATTAAGCCCCCCCAACTCGTATTACACATTCCCCCGAGTAGAGAGGCCATTCAGTACGGGGAGGTGGGCACATACATGGGGACCCAATATAGACCCTAATGTTCTACCGTCCTTTTATACACACACACACACACACTGAAGATGTAAAAACCCACCACATGTCCCAGTGGAAAGGCTCCAAAATCTATGCACTAAGCCAGGGGTACTCCCCAAGGAAAAATGGAACCTCAGAGGAGGCCCTTTGTAGACGACTGTCACTTAAGCAACGGGGCTACGTGGAGTTCCATCTAAGTTTGGTTTGCCTGAAGCCCCTGATATTGCAGAAAATTGCAGAAAGCGGAGAAGCATGCCTTTTCTGCTGTGATTGTCCAGCTGTCAGGTCAGAGCTTTCGCTGGCTGTGAGTGTGACCGCTTCTGATTGTGTTTTCCATGTCTGCATAAACATGCAGGCTCAGCGAGGGGGAGGGAACGGGCTAGTGGCCTAGCTAGGGAGTTTCCTGAGCCATTGTGGTTTGGCTGCCGAAAACAGAGCGTGGCCGCTCTGTGGGGGGGTTTCTTCGAAGACCTGCGCGAGGC